CTCTTAGAAAAGCTATTATACATGAAGATAACACTTATAATCTAAAAATTGATTCTGCTTTCTGCTGGTGCATCTTAGGCACTGTTTGGAAATCTTTAGAAATTATTTCATTCTTAAACTTGTGTTTCCCCTCATCCTAATTAAAAATTCTTATGTCTCAAACCTTTCCACGTCCTAAATGTTTCAGTGTTCTTCAGGGGAATGAACTGATTAGAGTCTTCCCATAGTTCTCTGTAGCATCAGAGAGAGTAGCAGAGCTATTGAAACTAATGAAACAGGAAGAAGCTTGAAGTTTGTCTATTTGCTTTCATAAAATATTTTGCATTACATTCAGGAGCCCAGGAGTGGCTGAGATTAGACTCTGGTGTTTAGCCACTGTGTAAATCAATTGCAAAAGAAGTCAGAGGAGCCAAAACTTGGGAGCACTGAGAGTCTTTTATAAAACAACAGGCAAAGGCTGGTTGCTGTCAGAGAGCTGTGTGTTCTTGTATACAGAGAAGTAATGTGGGGAAGTGTGAATGACACATCTCAGTGGGAATTCCTTGTTTGCTGAGGAGCTCTGCAGAGTGTGCCTGGTTCACAGTCCATGTGGCACCTTTCCTGCAGTGGTTGTTGTATATCCACAGGCTCTCTCTCCTCTGCAATCACTTTACCTTAGCTTTGGTCCATATCTGTTTCACTCACTCCCTTTCATTTCAGTGAGGCAGGAAAGGGGAGAAATTACTTACAGAACCAGTGTGACATTTGCTGCCCTGACAGCAAGTGGAAGGGGAGGCAGGGTGAACAGGCAGGCAGCCTGTGGAACAGGAAACAGGCAGACCTGAATAAACTGCTGAAATTTCTCTGCAAGTCGCTGCAGTAGCTGCACGTTTTCTCCTGATGTCTGTGGCCAGCTGTCATCTGATGTAGGCTCAGCTTCAGAGGAACAGAAGACAGACACCATTTGGATTTGAGTTTTCCTCAGGAGGAGGAGGACTGTGTCATACTACTGCACAGGAGGGGATCTGAAAGACAGCAAGACCACGTCTCACTTCCTTTTCTCCTTTGCTCCTGGTTCTTTTCTTTGACTTTCTTTGGCTTTGAGGTCTTTCCTGTAGAAATAACCAAGGGAGCTGAGCACTTGTGGTTCCAAATTAGTTTAGGGGAACTTCAGTTTCCTTGGCACCATTGCCTGGAACTGTAGATGTTTCAAGACAAGGTGACAGCACTGTCAGCCAAGGCCCTTCTGCATGTGCTGTCTTGCTGATGGTCATGTGTTCTCTTGTTAGTTTAGAACACTCCAAGGGAAATGGCTTCATGTATGTGCCCCAAAAACTTGTTATTGTGTGTTTGTTATTCAGGGGAAAATGGCCTCCCCTGCTATGCGTGTAGCTCTTAACTTGGCTGCCCCAGACACCCACTGCTAACTTCAGACAGGAAGCTGCCTGTGCTCCTTCCATCAGACAGATAATGCTGCCTTTCTCTCATGCACATTATCTCATGTGTTAAATTCTGAAAAAAAGATTGAGATGTGGATTATCTTTCTGTATGTATTTTCAACAATGCCAAGGGTAGATGTTGATCTCCAAAGTGAGTTGTGCTGTTAGTGAGGGTGTCACATCACAAACATTCATGTATTCACGATGCAAGTATGTAGGGATAGCTTGGGTGATTATGACTTAAGAAGCTATTAAGCTTACTGTGCCCTGTGAAAGCTGTACAGTTTGCTGTAGTGTTAAGCAAAAAATACTTATTATGGAGTAGCATACTCCTAAAAACCATTTGTGTTGCACAAATAATAATTGGTGATTTTGGAGCTTGTAAGAACTTTAACTTCAACACTGATCCTTCAGATCCAGCTGCAGCTCCTGATGCAGAGGCCTAAGCTGCACCCTCTGTGCTGGCCAGAGTTGAAATTCATTCCAGCAGTAGGTATGGTTCTTGTGACCCTTTTGTGGAAACCGGAAATCACTCATTTCCTAGAAAACTTGCTATAGTTATATAGAAAGATTAAATTGCATCTTTCCATTGCATCTAGAAAGTATGAAGATGGCAAGTATTGGGTAGTTATTTTGCATCAGGCAGCTGTGCGAGCCTGGCTCAAGTTGTGGTGGATGGGAAATGTGCTACCTTGTAGAGCTTTCTGGACAAGATAAATATGAACACTCAACATTACTGAAGATGAATATTCCAGATTAATATTACTGAAGATTAAAATTCCTTTGCATGCAGATCTCTCCTGTGTGTCCTGTTTCTCTCTTGCTCAGAGCCTGTGATGAGTCAGACAATGGAGAGGGTAAAGCCTATGAGGGGAAGAGAGTGGGAAAAAAAGCATTCCTGGATTCTGACCCTCTGGAGGGAGGAAAAGGGTTCCTAACTTCTTGTGACACGTCTTTGCAGAACAGGGGTCAGACTATTTTCCTGAGTTTCCTGGGATTGATTGATTGCTGTGCTTTGAGGGCCAGAGATAAAAGGCACAGAGGAAGTGTCTCAGTTGTGTTCCTGAGATGTGGAACTGGTTACACGTGACAACCATGAGGAAGTTATTTCAGCTCTTCCTTGTGTGGTTTCTCTTTCAGCTGCAGAAGCTGAGAAGGCCCAAGTGAGAGCAGGGCTTGTGGCTTTGGTATATGCTGACTCTGGTGGACATCAGCTTGGGAGCACAAAGAACAACAACATGGGCCAAGGGATTGTTTCACTTCACTGGGAACAATTGATGAGGAGAGGCATTTCTTTGTCTCATTTTTCCTCCTTACCAGGACTAGATCTGTGATTCCTCCTGCATACTCTTCTTGGCAAACTGAACATTCTACTGTCTTCAGCATTATCTGCTTTTGCTGAGCCCTTGGGACTGTTCCTTGCCAAATGCTCAGCCACTTGGACATGCTGATTTTGCTTTCATGGCAAACAGATCTTTGAGAATTTGCTGCAAGAGCTTGAGATCATTTGTCTCCAAGAAGCACAATGTGTTATGTTGATGTATGTCTTGCATGATGCTTTGAAGTGCTGGAAGCACTTTAAAGTGCTGGAATAGGGCAATTCTGTTACAATTCTAATTTTAATTTTACATTTTAAGGCCTTAGAGAAAAAAATGAAGACTTAGTAGGAGTCCCATGAGAAGTTTTTAACAAATACTGGTGTGAGGAATGAATGAAGGCCAAGGGCCTGCTGTACACAGGCTCCTGGAAACATCCAGTCTTCTCTTTTTTGTTTTAGCTGAATCTGGTGCATCGAATAATGAAAGAAGTTTGGAGGAGATACCAGCTTCATTCCTGTATCTTCTGCTTGTGAGCAAGTGATTTGTTAAAGTTTTTAGCCTGCCTTTTAAGTGTGGGCATAATGATTTTGGTCTTCATTGGTAGTACTCCTCTGAACAGTGTATGCTTATGCTGCTGTCAGTGTCAATGTTACTGTCACTTACTCTTCCTAAGGATCCTGCTGGCCCTCTCCAGGCCAGTGTGAATATTAACCACACAGGCAGTGTTATGGCTGGAGTTCAAACTTGCTGAGTTTGGAGTGGTCCAAAGTTAGGTAGTAGTTGTTAAACACCTGTAAAAGCCAGGTCACTCATACCAGCACTGTTTTACCAGTTACTGCTGATTCCAGGTACTGCTGAGAGCTTTGTAAATGTGCATCAGTGTGGGGAGGAGATGGGGACACCACAGAGACTTTGTGTGTCTGCAGCACTGGGCAGCTGGTGCTGGCTGAGACACCTCAGTAATCAGGGCAGCATCCCATGGCCCTGCATCCCAAAGGCAGGCATTCAGTGCATTCCCAGTATGGCAAATTGACCCTTTCTTAGGAGAGAGTGGGTGCCTCGGGTTCTTAATGTGTTGCTGCTTTGTTAACTCAGTGATGAGAGAGGAAGTGCAGGAGAGTTCGCGGTGTTCCACATCATGAGTCGGATTCTGGAAGCAGCAAATGGCATGTGCATGCCTTTACCTCCTGGTAAGTTCTGTGTTTTGCTGTTCTAATCTTGAGTGAGGAGAGCAGTGCTATAAATTCCTCCCAGCACAGCAATGGTTTCAGCACATGTGTCAAGTTAGCTTTGGCAGTATTGACAGCTATTCAAGTCAGTTATAGAGGGGAAGGCTCTTGATAAAACTGTACAAGTGAAATGAAGCAAGATGAAATAGTTACTAGAAACAGAGAAAACTAAACAGAGGTTTCCAGTGGAATATGTGGGTGCAGTCTTATTAAAACTAAGATTTAGACAACTGGACTTCAGTGTCAAGATGCACAAGGGAAAATCCTATCCTGTAGCAGATAGAGTGTTTTTTCTCATGCTCTTGCCCTGCTAATATTTTTCATTTTTTTCCTGAAGGGATTACTTCCAGCCTTGATGGAAAAGCTGGTCTTGATAGAAGACTTTCACTTCCTAGAGCTCCTAATAATTCTCTACAGCATTTTTAAAGCACTTGCTTATTTTCATTAGGGAAAGACATCTTGACATCTTAATATCTTAATGCTTTCCAATTCTGTTTGAATCTTTCTGGGTTTTATTTCCTGATCTGTCTACAGTTGTTTAAACTGCTTTTGGTATGAGTTTGTCCCTCAGTCTGTGTGGGCACAAATGCTGCCACAAAGTAGTGTTACAGGATAACAAGACCATCATCAGGCTGTTAAAGGAAAGTTGAAGTGTTAATGCTGCCTATGTGAGTGTCTGCATGGCAAAGACATCCTGAGGGTGGTGAGGCCTCAGATTTTGATTAATTAGGAGAAGAGAGGGAGATAAAAGACAAATTAATAGAACAAGTCAGATGTAAGGCAACAGTGTTGGTGTTTGACAGTGTATGACTTTAATGCCTGTTTTCAATCCCCTTAGCTTTCTTCTTTCTGATGAGGTAGTACTTGAGAGGACTTAAAGGATGTCTAAATAAAACCACCTGACTTGATAAATTGATTTCCTCACCAACTATAAAAAATCAGAAGTCAAGGGAAGTGATGGCTTTAGCTACAGTAATTCCAGTCTCAAATAGAGAATTAGAAAAAACTTACATATTGTACCAAACAAGTTTGTCTCTTTCATAGGTTTTCACACTCTGCACCTGGGTCTTGGTGTCCGATGTCTCCCTCTGCACACCCTCCTGCACTATATTGACAATGGCATCTTGCAATTGACAGAAACCTGTGTCAGGAAATTGCTGAAAGGTACAGAGAACATGGTGTTTTATTTGTTCCTAGCCAGCTAACTGGGACTGTTGTCCTTTGAGCCATTCCCCTTGGACATGGGTTTTATTGCCCAGGACACTCAACTCTCCTTAAAGTGTTGTTTATACAGTAAGGTCTGTAGCTGATGGTGTTGCCTACCTGAAAGGAGAAAGTTAGGACTCAGGCTATGTGACTGGCCTTACCACAGCACACAAAGAAATGTCTGTGTGGAGACAATCTGAGTTTGTAGTTTTTGCACTCGAGACTTCTTAGAAAAGCAAATACTAAAGATCATTGTGGGATTTGTTGGGGAATTTCTGTGACTCTGTGAAAGTGCACACCTGTTTGTGAGGAAGTTGGGTCTGCTATCCAGCCCTCAGCTGTTGCTTTATGTTTGGAAAGAGAAGAACAGGCCTGTCAAGCTGACCTCATGGCTGGAGAAGCTTATGGAGCAGATCATTTTGAGTGCCATCACATGGCGTGTGCAGGACAACCAGGGGATCAGACCCAGCCAACATGGGTTTGTGAAAGGCAGGTTCTGCTTGACCAGCCTGTGACCTTCTGTGACCAGGTGATCCACACAGTGGGTGAGGGAAAGGCTCTGGCTGTTGTCTGCCTGGACTTCAGGAAAGCCTTTGACACCATTTCCCACAGCATTCTCCTGGAGAAACCGGCTGATCATGGCCTGGATGGGAGCACTGCTCACTGGGGATAAAACTGGCTGGACAGCTGGGCCCAGGGAGTGGAGGGGAATGGAGCTACATCCAGCTGGTGTCTGGTCCCCAGTGGGGTTCCAGAACTCAGTATTGGGGCCAGCTCTGTTTAATATCTTTTTCAATAATCTGGACAAGGGGATCAAGCGCTTCCTCAGCCATTTTGCAGATGACACCAAGTTGGGTGGGAGAGCTCTGCAAACAGATAGGAAGAGGCTGGGTTGATGGGCTGAGGTAATTTATGTGAGGTTCAACAAGGCCAAGAGCCTGGGTCCTGCTCTTGGGTCACAACAACCCCAGACAGCATCACAGGCTGTGGCAGAGTGGCTGCAAAGCTGCCCAGGGGGTGCTGGTCAGTGGTGGCTGAACATTAGCCAGCTGTGCCCAGTGATGTGCTATTTCTCCAGTGTCCAAGAAAAGTGACAAAAAATATGCTGTATCAATCTGTGCCTGATCTTGATAAATTATATATTATAAACTTGAAGAGTTGCACTTAGTCAAAGTGCATTTGAATTACAGTATAAATTGTAACATAAAATTGTGAAGTTATGGACAAATACACAGAAATAAATTTGTACACATGATAAACATGTAAATAATAGTCTTTAAACTGAAATTTCATTTCACTAAGGAGGTGATGTTTATTAAAAATGTCTTCACTCTATTGAGGGTGATGAAAATTTGTTATGTGATTAACTGTTTGATTTGCTTTTTTCCCTGTTGCTTATAGATCTTGATGACACTGAACAGAATGAAAAGCTGAAGTTTAGTATTCTGATGAGGCTTCCAGAGGTAACTAATGGCTTTAGATGTAATTTCTTGGATTTTGGAATTGATAGGAAATTTATCCTTGTGCATAGGGTCAAACCAATGAAAGACTTGGCTGTGATTCAAATAGAGCATGATTCAAATGTAACCACACCTTCCACAGTTTCTCCATCTGCTGCTCCTGGACTGTAGGTTACCCTGATAACTTAAATTACAGATTTGTCCACAGTGTTTTGCAGAGTCTTCAGTATCCTACAGAAGTTTACAAGACTGACACTGTTCTGCTGAGTACTCATTTGCATAAGAAAATGAGGGTTATTTAAAAGGGGTTTATGGGGGTTTTATGTGTGCTTTTTATCATCCATGGAGTCTTTCTCACTTGTGACCTCTGATTGGTTCTGTACACTTCAAAAAATATGTTCAAAAGCTGGTAGAGTAAAAGCTGTAAAGCTGTATTGTACCACAGCTTTGTGGCAGGGATGAATTGCAAGATCTCCTCTCAGTTAAACCTCACAGTCTTACCCACTGACAAGGTGACTTGTGTAGCCACAAGATCTGGTTACTGGCCCTCCATAAATTCTTCCAGTAGAATGGGAGATGCATTTCTCCTTCTCCCCTTTTGCTCTTATTGCATATCACAGGACTGCAGGGAAAGCACAAGATGTCAGGAAGCAGAGGAACACCAGGGATCCCCCTCAGGGAATGCCTCACTGCAGAACAAGCCTTTTTCTACATTAGTTGCCCATTGTTTGCTCAATCTGTACTGTCACGTACAGTTCAAATGGCCAGAAGTGCTGCTTGGGTTTTCCTCCAACAAAGGCTTCTTTATTTGGCAGCAGTTTTGAGAAGGGGTAGAGGAGGAGAACTCCACAGGATGTTCTTTGTCCTCTGTTTTGGACTAGGGCTGGTGAGCTGGGGTCAGCATGGGGCCCATGAGTTGCCAGCCCTGGGCCTGGTGCGTGGGGAACTCCATTCCAACCACGCTCTGACGTGAAGGGCTGAGCTGGGAGAGATTTAGGGAACAACTACTGCTAGCTATGCACAGTAGACTTAGTGCTTTATTGTATCTATTTACAGCTTTGGGAAAAAATGCTGGGAATAGTCTGTTTGCCAGAAAGGTCACTTTGGGGTGACTTGGACTATTTTGAGCAGGTTACATGCAGTGGATGACTTCAGTTTAATCAGAAGCAAGGATTTAAGCACCATAAAACTGTACAGCATTTACTAAGATGAACAGCTGTCTGCATTGCAGTACAGCTGAAGGGGTGGCACAAGGGAAGATCTACACAGGGAAAACAGCAGAAGGTGGAGCTAATTTCACAGTGTGTTCCTATTCTTTTGCTTATTGGTTGGGATTGGAAGCTCTGGGAAACCTGGTTTTGAATCTTTTGGTTCTGGGAATGTGAGTCAATGTTGTCAGTTTCTAGGATGATGACCTGAATAATGGATCCAAACTTACATTCCCAGTATCTTTCCTTCCCAGCATTCTGCTTGTCTAAATTTCCTTAAGATGAGCCTGAGAAGCTCTGTCCTGAAGGAGGTTTGAGGAATGGGGCATCCACTTTACTCTTTGGGGGAAGAATAGATTCAAATCAGTCACAGCAAAGGATAAAGGTTCAATTAGTACTTAAGTACACATGTGAAGTGGGACAGTGGCACTGGGACAGACTGACTGAGGTGAGGACTGAGCGACCAGGTTTTGATTTCCCACATTTTGAGAACACATTGTGATCTCTTAGTTACAGGCTACAAAAGGAAGGCTCCATGGCTAAACATGATGACCCCTTAGCCTCTGTCATCGGGGTCTGAAAGCAAAGCACATCTGCATTACTGCCTGGGTTTTGTGTCAGCTTTTCCTCTCTTTTCCTCTTTCTAAGTTTCCACTGTTCCATGTCTATGTTCTCAGGTTTTGGGGTTTGTTTTTTGCTTACTAGGCTCTTGGTCAAAAGGTTCGCCAGTACTGGAATCACCCGATAAATGCAAATTTAATAGCACGAAAATATGTGAAACTTTTGCTTGAGAAGCTGGGAAACAGGCAGGTAAGAGCACAGAGGTTATGTTTTAAAATCTTATGCTTTGACAGTGTTGAGATTCCTGAGCTTTCTCTGGACTATAGCACACTAAAGAAACATTGAAACCTCAGTGCAACTGTGCAACTTTGGGAAATAACACAGAATGTCCTCCCTCACAGTGCAGCAGACCTATCCCTGAGAGACTCTCCATCCCCGTGGAGTTTTTGCCACTGAACTACCTGACTAATATGCTGGCAGAGATAGAGAATCAAGGTAGTGTTAATTCTGTGCTTTGGAAGACCAGTGATTGTTTGATGCTCTTTGATGACCTTTGATGCTCACTCAGATGTATCCTGCCTATACTGACATACTGAGTTATTAAAACTCCAGTGTTGTTGAACACAGAGGTTTGGTTGTCTTGCTGCTGATGGAAAGTGTCAGGGGCCAAGAGTCTCCATGTATGGCTATCATCCTATTTGGGGAGGAAAAAAGCTTAATCATGTAGTAGTATGTGAGCATGTGCCCTGGGCCAGTTCATGGACTAGCACTAACACAGCCACTCTGCTTCAAGCTGGGTTTGGATCTCCAGTTTGGAAGTCCAGCCTCCACAGAGGCTTCCCTCTGTGTGGGTTATAATTTACTTACATCCCACTAATAGGATAATTTTTGCCACAGATGAGCATTCAAAGGGCACTACTGAAAACTGTTGGTATTTTTGGGTGCATGAAAACACATTTCTATTACCCCTTATCTTTTGGTATTGTAGAGGAAGGTGTTTAATAGACAGCAGGACTATAAGTGTACACGAACATGTCCAATTTTGTAAATACTTCCTCACCATGTTTTTCTAGGTGTGCATCCATATGAAAAACAAGACCATGTAAATGCAAGATTTGTAGAGGAAACAGCACTCAAGCAAACTATGACACTTCTGGGTCTCAAATACTCCTGAAATACCATACTGTTGAAGAAGGCTGTTAAACTGTGATGCCTCTGTAAAAGTATTTATTTAAATGCAATGTTGTTTCCCAAATAACTGCAGTTTTGAGTAGTCACCAGTACTCTCATGAGCTACTAAAACAGTATTTGATCTAACAAACTGAGGTTGAAATTACTGACTTGTAGATAAATCTTAGAGAAATGCATTTGACATAACCCCAGGTTTGAAATATATCTGTGAGTTCATTTTGAAGTGGTCAAGGAAGTGGAACAACAGTGTCAAAACATGCTGTGAAAATTGGTATAAATGTCACTTCTTTTAACAAGACAATGCCGGAAAAGGCAGTCCAATTGCAGGATTACAAGACCTATTAACTGTTTACTTGGATTAATAAAAGGAGTTCTTGGTGTGATTGTGTAAAGCACGTAAGAACAATAGATGACTTTTTATGTCAGGCATGAGTAAACACATAGTCATTCCTTGTGGTGGTATCAGTTATCTTATGGTACTTCTTCTTCTACAGCTGCATTCCAGTATTTTCAGTTTTGTAATTAGCACAAAATATAATCTCCTTAAAGTGCATGTGACAGATTTTGTTGAAGGTTTGTTTGTTTGTTTGATGGGGTTTTTTTGTTGTTTTTTGAAGATATGTATACTATATTGTAAGTAATGTAGGATAAGAAAAAAGCTTTAGAAATTGATCTTAACAGTGGCTTGGATAGAGTTTTACATAATCCTTTCTTACAACTTCTACTGTTACAGTTCAAATTTCAGCTTCAGAAAGAAATTAGGCAGGCTGTTTTTCCTTGTTTTCAGCTTCTGTTTGTATGTAACTGAGCCAGTATTGTTTGCTCTTTTGTTTTAAGTTCTGAACTGTGACATTAATTTCAAATGGTAATAGCAATTTGCTACACAGAGAAAATTGCCAGGTTGTGCCATGCAGGGATTCTGCAATCTTTATTGGATTTTAAAAACTCTACAAAATTCCAGACTATTAAACTAGAGAAACTCATTATTATTTTATATATCTGGGAGGTTTTCAAAATAACCTCTGATGTTCCCTCTGAGTGTTTTCCATTGATGCTCCCTGTTCCTTACTAGTGAAATAAAAATATCCAGTTCCTGGGAGTGACTTGGCAAGTTTATGGTCACTCCTTTGTCATTGCCATCAGTGAAGCTTTAGCTTTTTTAGTGACTGCTTAGTGAGAAGGAATATTTTTCTTAATATAATCAGAATTTCTCTGGCAAGTGTAAACTCCAGTCCCAGACTGCAGAAAGCCATGTTGGTGTATGGCTATAAGTGATGGCCACTTTATATTATATGAATAACAGAAGATTTTCTAGCCTTTTCTTTTTAATGAATGTATTTTAACATACCCTCAGATGCAATAAAACTTCACCTGGAAAAATAAGTATAGTATGAGGATCACTCACTTTTCTTGACACTTGGAAATACTGCACTGCATTTGGAATAAAAGGAGAAAGGATTCTGGATCACTGACCAGTTTGCTGTGCTTTTGGCATGAACAAATACTTCATTTTCAGCATGGAATTTGGCTGAACACCAACAGATCTTCCTTCAAGCAATGTAAATGCTGCTGACTCTTGTGATCCGGCAGCTGGTAATGGTCTCTCCTGTTTTCAGTGCTGTCCGTTCAGATTCCAAATGGCTTTGCAGGAGGCTTTTTGAAATGTCTTGGACTCGGGCGGGGCTCACTCGGTCTGAAGGCAGTCATGTGGGCCGGCACCAGTGGGAGCCCCTCCTCCTCCTCATCATCATCCTCATCCTCATCCTCCTCCTCGGGGATAGTGGGGACCTGGCTGGGCACTGCACCTTGTTTCTCCTCTGCAGGCTGCTGTTAGAGAAACACAGCTTGGTCACACAGGGTCTGTGTGCTTTAAAACTCCAGTGCTTCCCCGAGCCCGTGTACAGAATCCATGACAAAGGAAACACTCTTAGTCTAATCCCTGGCAAACCAGGAAAGCTGAAGGGGTATTAAAAGTAAAGCACGAGGTTTGACCATGTAGATATGAGTTTGTCCATTTAAACAGTAGACAATTTGAGCCTGTAATGTTTTTTTTATTTGTCAAGAAAGCAGATTAGATGAACTTTTAAAAGATGTAGTAATTATGCACTGAACATCTGTGGAGTAATTCTGTTCCTGAATACAGTTACTAGAGTGGGCCTTTATCCACAGCACTGGAAGGAAACCTGAGTCACAGCATGAGGAGAAGTTTCATGACAGAAGTTTCCTATTCTAAACTATTACTATGTAGGAGCTCTCTGCTCTGGGATCACTGACCATCTCAAGGACAGAGGCAGTGTCCAGCAGGGTAAGGTTAAAAGTGCTCTCTGCCATGCTGTCCTGCCTACCCTCAGTGTCTTGCTCAGCAGTCTGATTTCTTGCTGCTTCTGATCTGATGCTCATTGTATCCTGAATGTGGGAGACATTAAACTTACTTCTCCTAAGTCCCACACTCCACCTTTTGCAGCTTTACCTTGAAATCCAGTGAAAAGCAGAATTCCACTGATGGCTTCCCTGCCCTTCAGCCACAACATGGTCACACAAACTACTTTAATAACCAAAGGTGAGGATTTTAGTATATGCCCTCCTTAAGATTCAATTACCAGCTCCAAGTGGTGTTGCCAGACTAGAGTTGAAACTCCACAAACCCACTGTAGTGGGTTGTTGGTTGTCTCTGTACCATCATATGCACTGGGCTCCAGGAGCTCTTGCAATGTATGACAACAACTTACTTTAGCTCTGGCTTCAGCTGCTGCTTTTTGTATCTTCTCATTGCATAGGGTCTTCCACCGTTCCTTTTCTGCTTTAGGAGGGGGAAGGCCTTGACTTATCATCATGGAAGAAGTCATCAGAAATTGTTCTTTGTCTCTGATTTCCTGATGGAGTTTAATGGCAAGTGCTTGCTTCATGGATAACTCTGCAAAAAGAGCCTTTATCTCCTGGGTTTTGTGATTTATCTTTCTCTGCAGTTCGTTGGTCTGGAATACAAAACAGCTGCATTGTAGTTAGGGCTTCCCTACTGTAGTTAGGGCTTCCCTTTAGGCTCTCACTGGACATGACACTTGGTTCAGCATTAGGCACATGAAAGTAAGTCCAACTTGACAAGGTTTTAAATAGTAGTTAGATCCTTGAAAATTACTAATTTTTTGTGAACACTTAGAACAAAAACAAACAAACAAACAAACAAAAAAAAACTGCTCAAGGAGTCACATTTACTCCAGTACAAGAATAGAAAAGCACATTTGTCTTTGATTCTTGACCTTTTCAGCTGGACAGCAAAACTCCACCAGCCTGGGATCGCAATTCTTTTTGAGTTTATACATAATTAGCTTCATAATAAAGCTGGAATAAGCTAAATTCCTATGAGATAACTGAGTGATAATGCTGATGTAGGGGCCATGGGTTGTGACATTATCCTTGGAAGGGGGACGAACAGAAAAGGAATGTGACAGAAATCCTTGAGTCTCAGTGCCGATGATTTGAAAGAACCAAAAAACTTTAAGTGACTCATTGGAACTGGGACAGCCAGAGCACTTGCAAATGCAACTTTTGGCACACTGCCATTCTTACAGTAGCTTATTAGCCCATGGCTATAATTTCACAAACAGTTTACAACCATGATATTTCTCTGTGTGTTCAAAATAAATTATAAGAAACTGTTTTAAGCTTTCATGTGTGCCAAACCTAACATCTAAGAAAAAATTTTACCCTGGCTTTGTTTTACATTAATTATTTAGCAAATTTTTTTTCTGTCATTCCCTCAGCCCTGCTCAGTTTGCAGCTTTTTCATTAGGAATATGGAGGCTAGGAGCATTTTTGGTCTTTCCCAAACAATATTACTTGCAGTTAAAAGCAAATTGCTATAATTATATTTTATAAACTGTATTGGAAATGATGTTTCCTCTGTGATTCTCCCTACCAAAACAACCAAAGAACTTTGAGCTGGATACCAAGTTCATGTTTTTGTATGTTGGAGTAGAATTTATCTGGCCTTCCTTTATTTCTTTTTTTCCCTTATTTCTTTTTAGCCTGTTGTGGGAAGGCTGTTAAGTACATTTGTGAAAGGAGGATCCTACAAAGTTTCTAAGCATCTCCTTCAGAAAGAACTAATTCTGTTTTAGTGAAAGGTACCATTTATGGTGCAACTTTGTTTTTAAAAGAGAGGACATTCACCTAGTAGTTTCGGTTTATCTGTGTTACTGTTGCTATTCCTGTCTGTAATTTCTGAAGATTAATTTATGATTTGCCTCTTAACAATTCCAGCCACTTTTGTAATTTGCAAGTGAATCACCTCTTGCCCAGATGTTTCATTTTGTACAGGCTGGCAAGCAGAGTGTGCAGTGCCCTTCTTACCCTCCTAGCGAACACCAGCATGTCCTGCTTGCTGTTCTCCACCACAGCACGGATTCTGTCTATCATATCAGAAATGTTCTCACAGAGAAAATCTATCTTCAGCAGTCTCTGCTCCTTCTGCACCAGCTCTGCCTCTATCTGCAGCAAGAAGGAGGACATAGTGTAAGGACAGGACAGGGGAACGTGCAGCACAAAGCATTCTGTGATTGCCTTCAGCTGCTGAATAACACTGGTGAACAGTGATAAACAAACACCTTCACTATCAGATTTCTCAAAATGTACACCGTCTCTGCCAAGGATCAGGCCAAAATTGGTTCAGTTGTTTGCTGTCAGTCATACAATTCTTCCATATCTGGCCAGGCCCTCTTGGGAGCAGGGGTTGCACCATTGTTACTGCCTTGCTGTGCTTCTCTTGAAAGAAATGGGGCTTTTTTCTACTCATATTTTTTTTAATCTTCCGGTTCCTTGAGTCCCACCATAATGGAAGGTTTCAGCTCTTGCTTTAAATACTATCCCTCCTCTCATGCTAAAAAAAGTATGGGCTCCATTAACAAATTATAACTACAATGACTTTAAATCCCATGGAGATTGAAATAGACATTTAAACTTATCACAACTCCAAGAAAACCTTCTTAATGTGTAGGCTGGTGGTAGCAGGCTCTGTTGCAGCCTGCTCGGCTATGCAGAGCTCCCTCCTGTCAAGGAATATGGGACAGTAAAAAAAAAAGCTCAGATAATTCAAGCTTTGTCTTCACAAACTGGATTTCAAAAGAAGGACTCTGGGGTGTGCTCAGAGCTTACTGCTACTGCCCTCACACCTTCAGTGCCCTCTGTGAATCCCCTCCCAACACTGAACACAGTGGGAAGAGTTTTGTGCTTCTATAACTGGGACAGACAAAACTATATAAGGAAAAGCTGTTGCTTTACCTTCCTCCTCCCCACACAGAGGGCTCTGAAACTGGCTTTCCATTGGCCCTGATGCTTCCCTCTGAAGTCTCGGGGCAGTCACCAGCAGTGCTGCAGTCAGGTGTCAGCAGCTGGGCTGGCCTGGCTGCTGCTTCCACCAAGCTCTCATTGGTGGCTCCTTTTCATCAGGGAAGCAAAGCAGTAGAGCCCAGCCCTAACAAGGGGCAGTGTTTGCTTCTGTGTCACACCTGCAGACTTTGTGAAGAGGCTGGCAGGTCTGCCTCCTGCCCACAGCCCATGGATAGTGGTGAAACAGCTCATGGCCAGTTAGCAAAGACTGACAACCCTGTTTGTTAGCAATTTATAATTCTGCATTTATCTCCCTCTGCTGCCTTTTCTGTGCCTTCCCCTAGTGAGGTGGGTCTGCACTGAAGTGCCAGCAATGTGAATGGAGTCAGCACAGGATGCTGCAGAGCCAGGGGTACCTCACAGAGCTCCCCCTCCTCAGCCTGTCCTGGAAGAAGTCAAAATGTCCCATGTCCAGTTGACCAGGAAAGCAGATGCTAGGCTGGAGTTCACAATGGACAATAATAATTAGTTTGATTCTTCTTACAGAAAGTTTATTTTAAAAATAAAAGAGACTAATTGCATTTTCTCAGAAGTCAAGCACAGCAAGATAGCTTGTGATATGAGAAGTGACATTACCTTTTCAATCCTTTTTAGCAGCTCAGGTGGAGATGGGTCCTTCCCTCCCATTTCTTGCTTTCTGCTCTCATTTGTGGCATCACCATAGTTTTCCTCCAGCTTTTTAATCTTGTCCCTGCACTGGGAATACTAGCAAACAAAGAGACTCAAGAGTTATTTATTCCCACCAAGCTCATCCCCAGACCTTGGTCTGGAGACTTCAACAGACAAGGATTCCTTTTACTGGGAAGGAGGGTGGGTAACACAAAATTATGAGCCATATAAAAATCTTCTTTTAAAAGAGAACTAGAGTGTGATTACAGTTTATTTTAAAGAGAACTACAGTTGCAGGATAGAGGTGTTTGACAGAAATTGAGTTCTACCTGTTTTTTGGCTACTTTTTGTTTTTTATCCTCAGGAATACAATAGAAAGCCCTGCTTCCCTGCTGGTCAGTACTGAGGTTCTCATCTCTACAAACATCCAAGTTTTCTACACTAACATTCCCAGGCATGTGTCCTGAAGTGACTCAGCAGTGACACTGAGCATTGAGATACCCTCGGGACTCACAGACAGGTGTTCCCTGACCTTTCCCATGTGAGACCTTCCCATGGCATAATGCTTCCCACAATATGTGACAGGGACATCCAGGCTCAGCGTAAATACTCGCTGAAGGAGTGACTGGGGCTGTTTTTTCATGTTTCATGTTGCAAGACTGACAGTGGTGGGGCTGTGTGCTCGGATGTGCACCTGGCTGTCTGTCAGTGAGCTGCTAGCATTGACATAACTGCCCAAGTGTAAATGTTAACCATCCACTGCAGGTGATGACTGATTAAGGAAATAAGTGGTCCCCGGCTCTCAAAGTTATGGACAGTCACCAAAATATACAGTAAATGTTTAGATGTTGCCAGGATGAGGTTTGTCACTGGAAGTTAACAAGTCATATTTAACTAGAAAAGAGAAAACTGACAAATATTCTCCGGTGGCCATGGAACATTACCAGAACACTTAAATACTTATTTTCCTAGTAAAAAAAGCACCACACAACTCACTTCTGTACACTTTTGTCTAAAAGCAGCTAAAGTAAAAACCTTAGATGAGTGTAATGAACAATTTCCTCAGCAAACCATGATTCTGAACATAGCTAGGTACTGAAAGTTATATTTTGCTGACAAATAGCTAAAACTCAAGTCCAAAAATACACAGAATGGAAGAATGTAAAAGCAGGGCCAGCACAAACAGCAGGATGCAGCTATGCTTCCAGTGATCTTTTCTATCTGGGGCCAAATTTCTCAACCACTAACTCAGGGGAAAATGCCTGGTTGGAGGCCGTGGCATCTTAATAAGATTAGGGGCAGCGCACCAAAGAAAATTTTGCAGGACTGAGTAGTTAATTTAGAGAAAGAATATTGCAGAAAAACCACTGTCCAAAAGCCATTAAAAAGTTTAACGTTAAATGTAAATACTAGCCTTATTTTAAAATGCAATATGAATTGGAAGTTATCAGATGCAAGCCAATCCAAAAGTATCAAAGAAATAACCATGCTATTCTCTGGCTGCTTAAGTAATGTGACTACAGGCATCTTTATTTTTTTACTAATTTGTAGTGTTTTCCTTGGAAAAGACTATCTGAGTCATAAGAGATTCTAAGTCTTATATTTAAAAAAAATCCTTTCTGTCTTAAAGTGGGTTTGATACAGGGGATAGGAAAAGACTGCAGAAGAGAGGCTTTTCTGTATTGGACTGTAATCAGGAGGAATTGTTGAAGGAGGGAACACATGTCTAGATAAAGCAACTGGTCTGGAAAAGTGGATATTGGGTTCTTTTTTTGAAATCTCTGAGAAGGTAAGTGAGGTATGTACAGCACTAAAAAAGGGCAAATACAAGACTTATTTTTAAAAATGGGGAGGGGGTGCAGATGGAGCTTTGGAACCATGATAACTTCTCTTTCTGAAGAATAAATCTGGAACACAGAATTAATTTTGCTTTGTAGGCATCAAGAAGATAAAAAGGACAGGGATAACAGCCACCATAGGTGTGTTGAGTCATACCAAACCAGATCAATGTCTACTATGATAATTTCACAGGTGTATGGATGACAAATAGTAGGTATCATACATTTTGATCTTTATATTGCTTCAATATTTCATATGATATTCTCATAAACAAGCAACATAAATGGGTTCCTGATTAAAATATACAGTAAATACCTATCAGTATAATGAGATTAAGCTCAGAGAGACTGCAAGAATTTTTTGGAAAATATTCAAATGCAAAATTACCTTTCTCTGAACCAAAAAGATAATAGTAAATAAAAAATGTAAGTAGTTACACGTAGGCAGGAAAAATTGCCTGTACAAACAAAGAATCAAATCAACTGGTTGGATGCCCTTTCTTTACAAAAGGGTCTGGTTGTTACATACATTAACATGAAGATGAATCACTCTGTCTTGTGTCAAGAAAGGTGCCAACATACCTGGATTAGGCAGGAAGGTAACCTGCAAGATGCCTGAATGGATCCTTTCACTGTCAGCCACAGGTACCAGGCAAATAAAGACTATATTGCCAAAAATAAAAGAAATGCAGAAAAAGAATGATCTAAGAAAAATCTCTAAGAGCTGATTGAAAGAAACAATGTTGTGTAGCTTATCAAACAGATGGGAGAGGAGCATGATTAACATCCAGTAGCATGAAATGTTGCAGAAAGGAAAAGAATGGTCCATTTGTCATGTCCCTGGAGGACAGAATACAAACCAGTATTCTTACACCACAACAAGATCCAGGCTAAAGCTCAAGAAAATTTTTCCACTGTTACGGAAAGACTGGGATAGCTTGCTTGGGGAAACCTGTTTCTCAGTGGTGTCTTGAAGCCACAGCTTAGCCCTTTCAGGCAATCCAGTGCTGCTGTGGGAGCAGATTGCCTAGATAAATTTGTTATCTCTCTACTAGTCCCATTATCCTCTGATGTGGTGATATAGTCTGAAGATTTTAATGTATTAAAACCTGAACAAATGTTGTTGCCAAATGCCTCAAATAAAGTGACAAACCTTGTATATTGCCTGAGCTCTAAGGCATGAAAGTCCCATCTACAGCACCATGACAGCTCAGCAGGTCTACGTGTTGGACTAATTAATGATTAATGCTAAGTATTTCTCATTGATGCATGAAGGTAGATTAGTTTTTATGGGTCACTTCAGTCAGCAGGAACAGTCCCTTGATGTGCAATCCCAATTAAAAGTTACATAGTTTTATGCCAGGGAAAACCACCTTACAGTCTCACCAGGTACTTTTTGTGTAAAGAAGTGCCTATAAATATTTCTAATTTTAAATCTTTACCTTGATGTTAACAAGCCTACCTAGTCTATGTTACTTGCTTAGAAGAGGTCTGGTTTTGCTTCAGATGATGGTATTTTTTTAGCTTAACTATTCACCAATGTTTTGTGGAAATAGGAAGCTTCTGATGAAAAGCATACAAGTGGAACATACATTACTTTGATGATTAAGCAGCTCATGTGGAATATAGGAGACCCAGGTGAAGGTTTGTTCTTGCTGAACTGGCACGCAGCCCTGATCTGGGCTTTTCCCCTTCCCAATGGGCACTGAAGCTGCTGAGATTATGGGTCAGTTTTTGCAGTCTGTAAATATTTCTGATTTAATTTTTTTTTCATTGATAATAATGAAAATACCTAGTCCGCGTTACTATCAAGCAGAAGACAAAAGGAGGCAGGAAGGGTAGGAAGAGGGAAGGACAGAAGAGGCACAGGTACAAGATTCAGCCTGCCTAATCCAGATAGTCTGTGACTGTGGTAACTGAACAGAAGCTGAGTCAGATTTCAACATGGGGTCAAATCTGTAATTGGTACAAGATCCAGAAGCATGAACTTGGCAACCAAGATAAGAATTCAGATTTGGGCTCATGGTTTTTGTTTACGTCATGGAGATAAAGTCAAACAATTTGAAACTGCTTCTCATTGGACTTAATTCCTATTGGCAATGGTAGTATTAATGATGAATGGTGGAGCATAAGGAGATGAAGGAGTTAACAGCCAGTTTGAGCCATATAATATTCAGTAATCACAGTATCTAGTGAAATTTTAAAGGTTGATAACTGATAATTTGCCGTTCTTCACTGGAAAACTCCTCACTGGGGAACATTTTTTAAGACTACTGCATGCACAATATCACACTACTCGGAATTTTCCTACTTTTAAATTTTTTGTCAACACTGCAAAAAATTTAAAGCACCTCCAACAATAGCCTCCCTTTAACAATGGTTTCACATGAACTATCATCATGAAGGAGAAAGTTGCAGGAATGCAGAACAGAAAAGGCAGAGTTTCATGATTGATTCTGTCAGTTCACAAAATCATCTGCATTTTGCTACTACAGTATTTGGCTCAGTTACTCTCAATCTCATTTTAAATCTTACCTGAA